TGCTGCTGCTAATGCTGCTGCTGCTGCTAATGCTGCTGGTGCTGCTAATGCTGCTGCTGCTGCTAATGCTGCTGGTGCTGCTAATGCTGCTGCTGCTGCTGTTGCTGCTGCTGTTGCTGCTCGCTCTGCTGCTGCTCCTGCTTTTGCTGCTTATGCTGCTGTTGCTGTTTCTGCTGGTGCTGTTGCTGCTCATGCTGCTGTTGTTGCTGCTGTTGCTGCTGCTGCTGCTGCTTCTGCATCTTTTTGAAGTGGTTCTGCCGCGGCCATCGCGCATCCACCGGAGCGACAGAATAATCGAGCAGCTAAACAAAGGGACGGTGAACAAATTATTTGTTTAAATATTATTATTTGTTTGTCTTCAACATTTTCGTCTTTCTTTTTATCAGGACCCTGCAGAGACACTCTACGCGGCACTGGGGATTGAGGGACGAACAGACCGCCGCTCTTCATCATAAAACGCTGCTGCTGCAGCTATGCATGCATGTGCTGCTGCATGCATGCAGTGCGCATTGGCATGCTGCTGCTGCAGCAGCAGCAGCATTTAACGGATATTAAATTCCTACAGGCAACTGCAGCACTATGTGTTTTCTTCTGTTTATTCGTTCAAGGAGTTGCTGCTGCTACCTCTGCTTTTTTTAATGTAGAGACTAAAACACTAACAGACAAATACTGCCGCCGCTGTACGCAGCAGCAGCAGCCGCCTCCGCTTATATTCTTCATTGGCTTCGTGCGTTTCGTTGCTGCTTCGCAGCAGCGGCTTGCTGCCTTGCCGCTGCAGCAGCAGCAGCAGAAACAGCAGTAGTAGGAGCAAGCGCAGCAGCAGTAGCAGCAGACGCAGCAGCAGAAACAGCAGCAGCAGCAACAGCTACCTCCGTTGTTCTCGCCCCCCCACGGGCTGCCTGCATGTGGGCGCAGTGAGCCCACGTGCAGCAGCAGCAGCAACAGCAACAACAGCAGCAGCAGCAACAGCAGCAGCAGCAACGATGAGGAGATAAGAAGAAGACTTGTACTACTGAAAGAGACGGAGTTCTTCACTTCGCTCGGCAGCCCTCAGCTGCACAGACACCGCATTTAGATTTGCATGCACGAGCAGCAAACCTCTCCCACACACTCACCAAATCCATATACATAATATATATATATATATATATGCATATATATATATATGTACATATATGCATATACATATATATCAATATATATACATATATGCATATAAACATGTATACATACATACATATACATCTATATATATCTGTATACATATATATATATATACATCTATATGTCTATGTATATATATATATATATATATACATCTATATATCTATATATATATGTACACATATATAATATATATATTTATGTATATAGCGCTAAAACAATTTGCAACAGAGGCAGCAGGAACGCAAAAGTAGACAAAATATGCGGGGTCAAAGAAAGAGAAACTTCACAGACTGCAGCACCCCTTCTTAAAACGTTGGCTGCGCAAAGAAAGCCTGCTGCTGCTGCTGCTGCTGCTCAGCTTCCGTGTTCTGCGGTGTCGCTGCAGCGGCACTTGCAGCCCCTACTGCAGCAAGGGGCCCCAGCTCTGGGAATGGGTCTGCTGCAGCAGCAAGACGCTCGTGCTGCTGCAGCTGCTGGGGCTGCAGCTGCTGTTGCTGCAGCAGCTGCTGCTGCTGGATAAACTGCTGCTGCTGCTGAATTAGCTGCTGCTGCAGCACGCGTTGCTGCAGCAGCCGCTGATGCAAAACCCTCTGCTGCAGCAGATCCTGCTCCTGAAGGATGCCCTGCTGCTGCAGCAACTCCTGTGGCGGTACAGTGGTATGCTGCTGCTGCTGCTGCTGCTGTTGCTGTTGTTGCTGTTGCTGCTGCTGTTGCTGTTGCTGTTGTTGCTGCTGCTGCAGCAGCTCGGCTCTGTGCTGGAGGGCGTGGTAGTGTTGCTGCTGATTGAGAAGCTGCAGCTGCTGCTCCATGCGCAGCTGCTGCTGCGACAGTTCCTCTAGATCTGCTTTTGCTGCTTCAACCTCATGCAGCTGTTCTGCTGTAGCTACACCTTCCGATAGAGAAACCAGCCTGCTGTACATACTCTGTCTACACAGCGCTACTTCAGGCAGCTGCCGCTGCAGTTCATCCATCTGCTGCAGCATTTCAAGGTGCTGCGCGCAGCAATACGGCTTCTGCTGCTGCTGCTGTTGCTGTTGTTGCTGCTGCTGCTGCAGCTGCTGCAGTTGCTGCAGCTGCTCAGGCAACAGCAACGCAGACAATTGCTCCTGCACATGCACCGCGTTGCTGCAAAGCCCATCTCCTACCGTCACAGGCCCCGGTTGCTGCTGCTGCTGCTGCTGCTGAGCTTCTGCTCCAGCTAGTGTGCCAGGTGCCCCAAGGCCCGTAGCTGCAGGCGAGCACTGAAACGGAATTGCTGCTGCAGCTGCTGCTGTTGCTGCTGCTGCTGCTGCTTCCTGGTTAGCAGCACACTGAAACGCGCCCAAGACAGCTTTAGCTTCCCCACCCATATCCTGCCCTGCAGCAGCAGCAGCAGCAGCAACAACAGCTGCTGCTGCTGCTGCTGCTGCAGCTTCGTGCCCCTGTACTGCAGCAGTTTGTGCGGGGCTTTCCTTCGGTTCTGCTGCTTCATAGCTGCTGCTGCTGCTGCTGCTGCTGTCATCGCGGGTTCTTCTGCCCTTCGCACTGAGAGGCACAGAAAAAGCCCCAGGTGCAGCGACAGCTGAAGCAGCACGCCGCCTCTTCCTAGCCTTCGTCCTTCCTTCTTCATCTGCTGCTGCTGCTGCTGCTGCTGCTGGACCTGCTGCTGCTGCTGGGCCTGCTGCAGCTGCTGCATATTCCCCACAGAAAGACAAATCACTTGAAGGTGGATCTCCCTGCTGCTGCTCTCCCGCTGGAGTCACCGAAGCGTCAGGAAGTTCTGGCTGCAGTTGCTGCTCTTGCTGCTGCAGCTGCTGCTGCTGCTGCTGTTCTTGCTGCTGCTGCTGCTGCAGCATAGGGTCGTCTTCCTTTTGGCTCTGAGGGCCTGGGAAGATCTCCGTTTTGTCTAAACCATTAGGGTTATCATCTGGAACTGCACCTTCAAGCTTTAACACCTGCTGTTGCTGCTGCTGCAGCTGCTGCTGTAGCTGCTGCTGTAGCTGCTGCTGTAGCTGCTGCTGCAGCTGCTGCTGCAGGAGACCCTCTACTTGGGTTTCTTCTGGAGTTTGTGTTAGTGTCTCTTCTTCTCCTTCACCCCCTCCTCGTCGCAGCCTCATTTCTTCGTCTTCGCCGTCCATATCAAGTCTTGCTTCAATTGCTGCGCTTCGTGCTGCTGCTGCACCTCCAGCTGTCTCCTCTACTCTAAATACTCGCGTCTCCAGTTTACCTAAACAACATATACATATAAATATACACCACACACATTCTATTTATTATATATAGACATTTAAATATATATATATATATATA